AGTTTAAGACCAGGCAATTGGTGCAATTACCTGGCATATTATTACATTATTATTTATTATTTTGACTTAGTCGGAGTAACGATGAGATTTTTTTATGATATCTAGTGACAAGACGAACCTGTTGTGCGCCTGGTGGTAAACGACACGCCTGTACATAACAGTTGCAGTGCTACTCAGAGCTTTAAATTGCAAAGATCTGAGGGGCACTGCTACTGCGCCTGTCATGCTGAAACATAAGTTTAAAAGTCCCATGTAATATCACCAGTGCTTTCAACCTTCAAAACCGAAACCCAGTAATGCTCACATTACTGCTTGGCAGCAGAAATAGGTAAGGTGGCAGAACTTCCTTTGACGAACTCTTTCACAAGGCGCTCTATGGCTACTAACAGTAAGTATGGTGTCTCTCGTTACATTTTTGGTAAAGTCAAGCTTAGGGCGCGTTCAAATTAGCAGATGTTAACCGCAGCAGTGCTGCAGCCGCGCGATTGTCACTTTTCATACAATCTAGAAGCGCTGCAACCGCGTGGCAGCCGCGTGACTGTCGCGCTGAAGTCACGCTCGGTTGCATCACGGTTAATGAAGTGTACGTGTTAATTTTTCAAATTTACTACGATGGACGAAAATCGAGTTGAAGAATTTATAGAGAATGCAGAACAACACCTACCAATGTGGGATATCAGTTCCGCCAGTTATTCTAATCCATTGAAAAAAAAAACATAGCAAGTTGTGAGTAATTTTTAATATCTATACGTGAAGTGTCTGCCCCAAGAACTCTGAACCCCCTAACTATATATCTTTTGGTTCTGAATACAAGTGTGAAGAATAGTGTTAAACAAACGTAAAAATCCCATAAAAACCCGTAAACAAGGAGAAAACTATTTACAAATATTTTTCATAAATTGAGTTTTGTAACTATTTAATGGCAGTATTCATTTCGATTATTTTGACAAAATAAACGTAACGAACGGATTCTAAAGGTGCCTACAACAAGGTCGAACAACAACGAGAATTACAGACGTTTCGAGTGGCGGGCACGCACCCACCAAAAGGATACCCATATTGCGTTTTTTTGATAAATCTAGTCCGCCATCTTGGATTTACAAATAAGTACTATATTCGTAATGAGCATCCCCAAATACCGCGAAAAAGATATCCATGTCGCATTTTCTTGAAAAATTGTGTCCGCCATCTTGGATTTAGAAATAAGTGCTATTATTAGTAATGAGTACGCCAAATACTTCGAAAACGACAACCAACTTGCCATTATTCGAAAAATCGTACCCGCCATCTTGGATTTAGAAGTGAGTGCCATATGCGTATTGGGCATCCTCAAATACCTCGAAAACGATACCCAACTTGCCATTATTACAAAAATCGTGTCCGCCTTCTTGGATTTAGAAATGAGTGCCATATTCGTAATGAGCATCCCCAAATACCTCGAAAAGGATACCCATATTGCATTTTTTTTGGAAAAATCGTGTCCACCATCTTGGATTTACAAATAGGAGCTATATTCGTAATGAGCACCCCTAAATACCTCGAAAACGATACCCAACTCGCCATTACTTGAGAAATCGTACTCGCCTTCTAACATTTAGAAAAGTCGTGTTAGCCATCATGTATTCAGATATAAATGCCATTCCCATAATGATTACCAAAAATAAATTTTTAAAAATTCTGGGCAACCATCTTGTATTTAGAAATTAATGCTACATTCTCAATAAGCACTCCCAAACAACTCGAAAACGTCTATAATTCCGTTGTCGATCGACAATGTCGATTATACATTGTCGATCATATTAATACGTTCTGGTATTCTTTTTTTTTTTTTTCAGTTTCAACAAAATAAATGAAAGTAACGTTTCTTCGTCAGAATCCATCGTGTAACGGAGTCGAAAGGTAAAACATCACTAAAAATTGGGTCGTACTTCAGCAGCGCGACAGTCGCGCGGCCGCCGCGCGGATGTAGCGCGACCGCCACGCGGCTAAAGGCCCATTTAGATGGGGAGAGTTTCTCGCACGCTTCGAGACGAAAACTCGTAGGCGATTCTCGTAAGCAATAATCGCCATAAGATTATCGTATCATAATGTTTACATTCAGGCAAGAACTAAAATCTCGCCTACGATTATGTCATACGAGACTCGTAAGCAACTTAATCGCCTCCTCGATTGTTTACACGGAGAAATATGTAGTAAGGAGATTCTTGCTTACGAGTTTTCGACTTGTCTAAACACGATCTCGTATGACATTTTTTCAAGTTCATACGATTATCGTACAAATCGGTTCGAACCGTTTTGAGTGCGAGAATTGCCATTCGAGTTCAGTGATTACTGCGGTATAACTATGGATATATCAAAATGATGCAAAAACCATTCAAATTTGAAACTGCTGATAATATTAAGTTCATTGCACTGTATAGAAATATAATTTTGATTTATCATTTTTTTTTAAATTACATAACTACTGACACAAACAAAACTGACAATTATGATAAATTTATAGGGCGAGTGAGTGCGTGTGTGAGCGCGTGAGTGACTGAGTGAGTGAGTGAGTGCGCGCGGGCGTGCGTGCGTACGTGAGTGAGTGAGTGGAGAGTGAGTGAGTGAGTGAGTGATGAGTGAGTGAGTGAGGGGTGAGTGAGTCAGTGAGTGGTGAGTGAGTGAGTGGTGAGTGAGTGGCTGAGTGAGTGAGTGTGTGAGTGGTTAGTGAGTGAGTGAGTTGTGAGTGAGTCGGTGAGTGAGTGAGTGAGTGAGTGAGTGAGTGAGTGAGTGAGTGAGTGAGTGAGTGAGTAGTGAGTGAGTGAGTGAGTGGTGAGTGAGTGAGTGAGTGAGTGGTGAGTGAGTGAGTGAGTGAGTGAGTAGGGAGTAAGTAGGGAGTAAGTGGGGAGTTAGTGAGGAGTGTTTATTGAAAAGTACATTTACTTAAAAAGTCGTGTCGGCCATCTTGGATTTAGAAATAAATGCTATGTTCGTAATGAGCACCCCCAAATACCTCAAAAACGATACCCAACTTGCCATTATTTGAAAAGTGCGGGCACGACTTTTCATCCTGGATTTAGAAAGGAGTGCCATATTCGTTACGAGAGCACCCTAAATACTATATTGCCCACGCTATATTCGACCACAGAGGCACTCACTCACTCACTCACCGTTATTTGAAATTTTTTTTTCGCCCTCGTTCCATTAATTCTTGTCTTAGAAAAGCAGTGATAATCAAAACACCCTCGCGCACTGCACTCGTGGTAGAAACGGCTGGCACATAAACTCGAAATACGATTTTTGCTTTCGAGTTCTGTTTACACGGAGACGTTCAATATTGAAAGGCGAGGAGATTATCGCTCACGTGGACGGTCGATAATCGCGAATGTTTAGACGAGGAAAGTTTTTTATATTCTTTCGATAATCGCATCTACGAGACGAGAAACTCTCTCCATCTAAATGGGCCTTAACAGCGGCTAATTTGAACGCGCCCTAAGTCTAACTTACTGTACATGGTACTGTCACGTTGTACCGCGGAGCGTGGCAAAGATTTATCTTAGACTTCGCAAGTAGCGAAAGCACGTTTTATATTGGTTTCTTAAAAACTCAACCAGCCTTCC